TTTTTTTTTTTTTTTTTTAAAGCAGGATCTTGCTGTATAGTTCAGTTTGGCCTTGAACTCCCAGGCAGACCTTGAACTCAGAATGATATTCCAGCCTTAGCCTCCCAAATGCTGGGATTATAGGGGTGCAGTACCATGCCCAGCTCTGTATGTGTTCAACTCATTTAATCTTCATAATAATCCTATGAGGTAGACACTGTTCTTATCTCCATTTTTGTATATAAAGAAATTGAAGCTCTTGAGAAAAGGCTAGAAAAGTGTGTTAGGAGGGCTGGTGAGATGGCTCAGTGGTCTGGGGCACCTACTTGGAGCAAGCTAAGCTAAGCAAAGGGACAGCGACCGCGGTTCCGTCCCCAGCACCACATGCCAGCCAGCCCGCCCCCTGGTGGGCTGAGCTGGCCACACACACACACACACACACACACACACACACAAAATAAATAAATAAATAAATAAATAAGTGTGTTAGGAAAGCCTTGAGTGTCAGGCTGAAGAGCATCACCTTATTCTGTAGGCAATAGTGAACTAAAGATTGGATCATGGAACAAAATAAATGATCAGAACTACACTTTGGAAAAATAAATCTCATACTATTTTTTAGAGTAGATTGAAGATGGGACAGGTGATGGGAATGAAGCTGATGGCAAATGGACTAGTGGAAGGAAATATTCGCAGTTAAGCAGCACATAAATAATTTGATGGAGAAAGCCACAGAAAAATCCATTATGGCAGTTCTATCACTGACGGTTCTTCAGTAGAATGAGTTGTATTTAAATTAGGAGGCAACATGGTTGTCTTTGATAAGCTAATAGCATCTATCAACTCTTTCTCTAGAAAAATACTACTCATAGTTGCATACACACTTTAAGGTTGCTTAGGGAACCCCAGAGTGTACCTAGGCTAAGCACCTTTTTGGATCTCAAAATTAGGAGAGCTGGGCTTGAGTACTGCTGAGCTTTGGTGTAGACTTAACTGTGGCTTTGCACGAGCCCTTTCCTTCACTTAGGTTTGTTTCCTTTATCTGTAAAAGAAGGCTTTAGTTTCAGTTACTGGATTTCTAAAGGTGGTCATTTTGAGTCACAAAGTTTCTGTTTTCCTGGATGTTATTAGGGAATAGACAATGAATAGTAAATTGATATTTCAGATAGAAGTGTTATGAAGAATGCGAAGAAGAATGACTGAAATGTGGATTAGTATTTTCCTACTGATATCTTTTGTTTGTTTTGTGTGGCTGGAAGTTGAATCCAGGGCCTCATATGTGTTAGGCAAGTGCTCTACTACTGAGCTACATACTTACTTAGCTTCTGCTTGCTAGTTTTGATAGTATAATTCAAGTGGTCTTTATTTCTGTCTCAAATTTCCATATACCTGAGTGAATAATTTGCTTTTTGTTTTGTCTCTCAATAGGAAAAAATTGGGATGTGAGTGCTGCCCTTAGTGATTTTGAACAGCTACGTCAAGTGCATGCTGGGAACCTGCTGCCACCCTTTGGTGAAGGGAGTAGTGGCTCCAAGACCTCTGAGAAGGGGTGTTCTGATAGAGAGTGTGCTCGCCCTTCCCGACCTACCCTGCAGCGGCAAGATGACATCATTCAAGGTACAGGGGTCGCTCATCGGGGTGTTTGTGAGTTCTACATAGTAGAATAGGATGGAACTGCTAATGAGTTAGAAAGTCTAGTGCTTCTTCCCTCTTTCCCCAGCCAAGCACAGATTGAAGTAGCCTTGAAATGAATAGAGACCGAAGTCCCTTACCATCTCTCTGTATCGAGCGTTAACCCTATGCGAAGGTGGTCTTCAGAGCACAGAGGATAACAATCTAATTGTTGAGGGCAACAATCTAATTAGGTACATATAAAAGTAGAATTAAAAGGGTCAGTACCATCTACCTTTTTAATTTAATATTTGCCCCTATCTGTCAACATTTAATATTTAATCTTTGAAGAATTTCATTTCTAGGAATTCATCATCTGTATTTGTGAATATATCTGTGCATATTGCCTTTAAATAAGTAAATAGATGACACAGGCAATGCAATTATTTTATAATGAAACTTGAAAACACTTTGTAATGCCCATTAGTAAAGAAGTGGTTAAATAAACTGTAATCATCCTTATTGTAGAATAATCTGCAACCTTTATATGGAATTAGGTAGAACTTAGTATGTTAGTTTGGAAAACTCTCTAACCCTTATTTGGAAAGGTAAGATATAATGTGTTCCTGTTTGCATTTTAGAAGACTTAAAAAGCTGTGTGGACTTCTATATGCAAAAACTTTTAGGAAGGAGACTGGGCGTGGTGGCGCGCGCCTAATCCCAGCTCTTGGGAGGCTGTAAAGAGGCAGATCACTAGGAGTCGGATCTAGTAGTGAGACCCTGACACCCTGTAGACCCTTCCCTAAAATACAGGAAAACAAAAAACAAACAAAAAGTCTAGGAAGATATAAAAGACTGTTTCTGGGGAAAGGATCAGGAATTTAGAGTTGAGAAGGAAACTTCTTTGTAAAATATTTTATATCTTTTGATAGCATTTTGACTTTTAATCATGGCACATGATACTTCTGAGATACCTAAAAAATATTTTAGAATGCTGTCACTACAGAATAACTTTAGACAACTTGATTTATTTTATTTATCATCTCTGGAAAATACTGGATTGAGAACAACCACCCAGCATTTGAACTCTTGTCCTCATTGTAGTATAACTGAAGCCATGCAAATGAATTATAATACTGTAGCAAATGATGCTTATAGTGGAAAATCAGCTGGGGAATTTTAGATGTCATGTATTCAAGGGGAAGTATCTACCTTATGGTTTTAAGCATATTAAGAATTAACTATCCTGATAGGTTTCTTTTAAAAAAAATTTTTTTTTAAATGTATGTGTGTATGTATGTATTTATTTATTTATTTGGTACAGGATCTCTTGCTACAAAACTTGGACTCATAGTGATTTTCCTGTCTCAGCCTCCCCAGTGCTGGGATTACAGGCATGTGCCACCACTCTTGGTTTCTGTGGCCAGCACAGCATGTGATATCAGGGATGGAACCCGGGTCCTTCCGCTTGTCAGGCATGTGCCAAGCTATCTCCCCACCACTATCCTGATATGAGTGTTGTGAAAAGTTGTTATAGAGCCAGTGAGATAGCTCAGCAGATTAAGGGCCTGCTTAGGCAAGCACAGGGACCGGGGTTTGATCCCTGGCACCACATGCCATGCTGGCCCTGTCCCCAGGCAGACAGAGTTAGCCAGAGACTGGGCATAGTGGCCCACACCTGTAATCCTCGCACTGTGGAGGCTGAACACAGGAGGATCACTGTGTGTCTGAGTTGCTTAGTGAGACCCTATACCAAATACGTTTTTTGGTGGAACCAGGGATTGAACTCAGACCCTTGTGCTTGCCAGGGAAGCACTTACTCTACTGAGCCATTTCTCCGGCCCCCAAATACATTTTTTAAAAAAAGAGAAGTTGTTATAAATAATATAGATGTCATTGATGTAGAAAGAATGTTCCTATTCATAAGATTTGCTGTTTTCGTTTCTATAAGAGAGGTCCTTTCTACATTCTCCAAGACTCTGAGTATTAATAGAGATTTGATTAAATCTAGCAGAAGGAAACCCATTTCCCTTTTTTCTTCCTCCCATCAAACAGTGACCAAGTTGCTATCTGAGTGCGTCCCTTGCATGATAGGAAATAAAAATATAAGAAAACAGAGTCATAGGAAGAGGAAAGCCAGGCAAATTCCAAACCAGGGTAGAAAGTGGAGTATATATTTGGTGCTAATTTAACTGCCTGCAAGAATGCCACTTTTATTGGGTGTGGTGGCACACAGCTGTAATCCTAGCACTCAGGAGGCTGAGGAGGATCATTGAGAGTTTGAGGCCAGCCTGGGTGATATAGTGAGACCCTTTCTCAAAAAACAAAGAAAAAGAAAAGAAAAACTGGTGTGAACTTCAGCATCTGGTTTGGTACAGTTTTTCTCTGGTGGGAAACTTGTCAAGAGGTAACCCTCACCACATCAGTGGAAAGTTCTCTGTGTGGGCTGTGTGTATTCTAAGTGACTCCGTTTCTCATTGCAGAAAAACGCCTGTCTAGGGGCATCTCCCACGCCAGTTCCAGCATTGTCTCCCTGGCCCGGTCCCAGGTCTCCTGCAGTGGTGGGGGTGGGGGGAGCAGTGAGCACCCCCTGGAAATGCCCATCTGTGCCTTCCAGCTTCCAGATCTCACCGTGTACAGTGAAGACTTCCGCAGCTTCATAGAGAGAGACCTCATTGAGCAGTCCATGCTGGTTGCCTTGGAACAGGCAGGTCAGTGAGCATTTCTTGCCAGCTTTGCTTCCTCTGCTCTCCACACTGACTGGCCTTGATCTGTAGCTTCTGGTGTAAGTGTGTGTCTGATTGCAGTTACAACCAGCCAGATAAATGTGGTCTGAGGTGGGTGCATTTTGAAGTTATATAAAGGGTGCCAATTAAATACTTTTCTTGGTGCTGGGGAGATAGCTCAGTAGAATAGGGGCTGAGTTCAGTCCCTGGTTTTGCCAAAAAAATAAAAATAAAAATAAATAAATAAATAAATAAATAAATACTTTTCTTTGGAAATTTTCTTTTTGATAGAAGGGAAGCCATTTTACATGTTTGGAAATAAATAGCTAAAATTCAGTCAATCAAAAAAACCCCTCAAATAAGTATAAAATTCACTCAGAGCTCCCTTGCCAAGAAAGAGGGGCCAGTACCGTCCTCATGCACTGAAAGTTATATCTATTCATACAAACTTTTTCCCCTTAATTTATTATTAAAATTAGTTATACAATAGTGTGAGACAGCTGAGATTTTGGGGAAAGTTTAGGTATTTCAAAATTCCAATGGGAATAAATGAAGATGGGAGATGGGAGCATAGAGAGGGAGCTTTTTCATTTCATACCCATCTATATTACTAATTATATGCATTTAGTTACAATTTTTAAAGTCAGCAAGTTATCTGGGCTAGTGAATCATAGGCCAGTTTTCTTTTTAGTAGTTCAAGAAAAAAATGTGTGTGTGTGTGTGTGTGTGTGTGTGTGTGTGTGTGAGTGATACTATGGATACCTATAGGCCTTTACTCTGAGCTATATCCCCAACCCTTTTTTAAAAAATGGTATTGGGAATTAAACCGTGGGCCTTTGTACTGAGCTACATCCACCCCTCCTCCCTCTTTTGAGTCAGGATCTGGGCTCATATTTGCTATTCTCATATCTCAGCCTCCCTCCAGAGCGCTTACATTATGAGCACGCACCACTATGCCTGGCTTGCTTCTGCTTTAGATTCCATTATATAACCAGTTGTGCTTACCAATTGCTAATTAAAATCCTATGTAAGAAAAAAAAAACTGTGTCAGTATGGATGGTTTTATTCTGGGTAGTCTTTCTGGAGGAGGCTAATCAAGTCTTGTTTCCCTCCACTTTTATGTTTCTGCAGGGCGTTTAAATTGGTGGGTTAGTGTGGACCCCACCTGTCAGAGACTTCTTCCTTTGGCAACTACTGGAGATGGGAACTGTCTCCTGCATGCAGCTTCTCTTGGTGAGTCTTGGAAATGACCCTTCTCTTTGCTTGTGGAGGAAGGAAGAAATCACATAAAATCTCATGTGTAAAATCTTATTGGTTGGACTTGATCCAACCAATTTGATTCTAGGCAGAAGTGGTGGTGTGAACCATCCTAGGCAGAAGTGGTGTTTCCCAGCAAGGTTGCACATGGGAGTGTCACTATAGGCAGAGATGGGAGAGAGCCTTACCCTTTCAGTCTTGTTCAGATAGTGAGGAGAACACAGGGTTTAGCTTAGGACCTGCTCTGTAAGCTGATTCCTAGGATTGAAGAGTGTCAACAAGCAAACAATAAATAACTCTGTGTGTATGTGATTCTATGTACAAGTTATTCTTTTGGTGTGTTGAAAGGGGTTTTACAATTTTTTTTTTTTTTTTTTTTTGACTGGGGATTGAACTAACAACCTCACTCTTGGCAGTCAGGGGCTGTGCTGCTGAGCTATCTCCCAGCAGTCTTTTGTGACACTTAAATTACTGAGTCTTGTTTACAACTCAGTATATTATTTGCCCTTAGCTTTTAAAAAAAGTCCTTCTTTTCCATCTAGCGCTCAAGTATTGATGTTGATTGCTGTGCATCAGACCAGTCTTACCTACTGCTACTCTGTATTTTAGTTTGTTGGATTTGCACTAGTAGGGGATTCCTGATGGGTTGGTGAGATGTGTTAATCCCCCACTTTCAAGTTCTCAGCCTCTGTACCTCCAGGGTAGAAACATCCTTTCTTGATTAAGTATGTCTTCCCTAAATCATAGTCAGAGTTTCCTTGTGTCATAGTGAGGGTCCAGGGTATAGCTCAGTGGTGTCTACTTGGCTAGCTTGTGCAAGGTTCTGGGTTTGATCACCAGCACTGAGAAAACAAAACTATCCTAAAAATTAGTAAGTGGATTGAGTCATTGTAAGTTACTTTATGCCATGCTTTCTTGCCACAGGGATGTGGGGCTTCCATGATCGAGACTTGGCACTGAGGAAATCTTTGTATGCATTGATGGAAAAGGGAGTAGAGAAGGAAGCACTGAGAAGACGCTGGAGATGGCAGCAAACACAGCAGAACAAAGAGGTAGGAGAGCAAGAGTGGGAGCACCTTGTTTGCCACAGTTAACTTGTTGGTTGCTAAAGTTACCTAGTGATGAGCATTTGGCGCTATGTCCAGGTGTTTTAAGATCAGTGCTGTTGCTTTGAAATCCTGCACTTACAGCAGAAGCAAATGGCATGGGGCAACAGATAGGAGAGCTGCTGGGGGAGCCTGTACTGGAAAGGGGTTACTTGATACTGTGCTTTGCACTTTCTGGAATTCAGTAGCCTTTGGTGTGGCAGTATGTTACAAAATAAGATATAATAATTCATTAGGACTTTTATATTTTAGGTTTTTTTGTTTATAATAATGCTACAATTTTTTTTTTTTCTTTTTGACAGTCTTTTTTTTTTTTTTTTTATATGTATTTGGTTGTTACACGGTCTCACTATACAGTGCAGACCCTTGGTGATCTTCCTGCTTTCAGCTTCCCCAGCACTGGGATTACAGGCATATGCCACTATGCCCAGACTCTGTTTGGCTCCTGGGGGTGGGGCTGCCATGGCATGTGGTGCAAAGGATCAAACCGTGGTCCCTATGTTTGCCTAAGCTTGCCTAAGCAGGCACTTTAGTCCACTGAGCTATCTCTCTGGCTCCATGCATTGGCTTTTAAGGATTTTTGTTTTCATTTTTTTTGTGTTTGTGTGTGTGTGTTTTTTTTTTTTTTGAGACAGGGATTTGCTATGCAGTGCAGCCTGGCCTATATCTCGCTTATGTAGCCTAGTATGGCCTCAACTCGTGGTGATACTCCTGCCTTGGCCTTCAGTCCACGTACTAGGATTACAGGCATGTGCCACTATGTGTAGCTTATGTTTTCAGTTCTTATAGAAATGTAAATGCTTTATTTTTGACATATGACTTTTTTTTTTCTTTTTGACATTTTTTATTTACTTTTTTTAGGTTGATTAAAATTTTAAAAAGTATGTATGTTAAATTGAATTTGAAGCTGGGCAAGGTGGAAATCCCAGAACTTTGGAGGCTGAGGCAGGAGGTTTGCTGCTAGTTTAAGGTCAGCCTGTGCTACATAGTGAGTTCAAGACCAGCCTGAACTTCATAGCAAAACATGTTTCTAAAAGATATAAAAGGGTTAAGGATGTAGCTCAGCAGCACAGCACCTGCCTGGCAAGCTCAAGGTCCTGAGTTCAATTCCCAGTACCAAATAATAATAATAAAATAAATAAATAAATAAAATTGAGTTTGAATGTTATTGCTCAGGAATTTGGCAAATAATAAGGTTACTTTTATACAAGAAAATTAAACTGAATGTGATAGTGCATGCCTATCATTCCAGGACTTTGGGAGGCTGAGGCAAGAGTTTGACAAGTTTGAACCCAGCTGGGGCAATTTATTGGTCCTGTGTTAAAATAAATGTAAGAAAAGGACTTGGATTGTTGTTCAGTATAAAGGCCCTGGATTCAGTTTCAATGCTGAGTAAAAAGGATGGAAGGGAAAAAGGAAGGGAGGGCAGGAGGGATAGAGGAAGAAAAGGAAGGATGGAAGGAAGGAAGGAGAAAAAAGCATGAAAAGAAGGTATTATTTATACATTCCATCTTTTTACTAGGAATTGGACAAACTGACTGTTTTCATTAAAAAAAAAAGTTTTATTGAAACAGCTTTACCCATTCTATTTATATTTACAAATGTGTGGGTGCTGTCTGTTTCCGGCAGCAGACTTAATCATGTGTGGTCTGCAGAGTCTACAGTATTTTCTATGTAGCTCTTTATAGAAAGAAGCTGGCTGGCCCTTCCTAGCCATGATGACTTCACACATTTATACATAGACAGCAGGCCTCCCTGCTTCCTCGGCCTCCATTCTCTATCACCTGTGTTTGCCTCTTGCTTTTCATGTAAATCAGATATCTGCTGTGTTTTGGTGTGTTTCTGCATTGAACATGAGAATATCTTCAGAGTTTTCCTTTTTGTCCATCTTTATTTTCTCTGTGTTTCATGTAAACTAGAAATAATACAGTTAGAGCTTTTTGTGGGTCTGGTGGCACATGCTTCTAATGCCATTACCAAGGGGAGTAGAGACAGGAAGATTACAAATTAAAGCCAAGCCTTGGCAAATTAACAACTTAACATGATGGGTCTTAAAATTTATTGAGTATGTATCTCAAGATGAAGAACCTAAGTTCTATCCCCCGGGGCTGGAAAAAAAGATTAGAATTTTATGGCTGAAGATTTAAAATGTGTAAATAAGAATGTATTTTGTTTATTTCTCCATAAACAAATATTCTACTTATTAAAAGTAGGATGCTACTTGGATCATATCTTGTCCTTCATCAGCTAATTTGCTCCAAAAATATTAACAGGGACAAGCCTTTTTTATTTTATTTTTTAAATTTTTTTCCCATAATTTTATTGAGAAACAAATAGCAATGAG